GACAAAGAAAAAATGAAACAAAATCAAATTCTAATCTAGAATATTATTTGAAAGGATTAAAGATTAAAATTGTTTGAAGTTAAAGGAACATACAGTTGGTTTATCTGATCTAGGTTAAAATAGATGTGTTGTTGTCTCTGATAATCCTTAATGGACTTTTACTGACACCAGGACTAAAATGACAAAGCGTTATCGATGGTTTTAGGGAAAGAAGAGATCCTTTGTTGTATTTTAAGAGAAAGTGATAAATTACTAAAAAAAATTATACTTGTGATAAAGCGGGAAATCATTTTTTTATATATTTGTTTTCTTTTTCTTAACTACATTCTTACTTGCTCCTTTTCCTTTTCCTTTCTTTTCTGTACCTTTTACTCTTTATTCTTCTACATTTAAAAAATGTACTATAATCTTTTGTAATTACAATATTTAATAAAATTACTATTAAAAAAGGAATCTTGCTTAAGATTTTTCTGTAACCGTATGTATAAGTAGCTCTCATTCACATGAGTTCTGTTCCAGCATAAACCCTAGGATTACAAAACTCCAAATAATGAGATCTTGAGCCTTGGGAGGTGGGAGTTAAGTTTTGGAGATTATGGTCACATTCCTCATGCACGTGCTTCCTCCACTTAGCTCCACACATAACAGCCAAGGTGGCGCAGTGGTTCAAATGCAGTGTTGCATACAAACTCTGCATATAGCCTAGAGTTCGATCCTGATGGGGCTCAAGCTTGACTCAGCCTTCCATCATTCCAAGGTTGGTAAAATGAGGACCCAGATTATTGGGGGAAATATGCAAATAGTGCTTCTACATTGTGCTATAAAGCGCTATGAGGCAGTATATAAGCCTAAATACAATTGCTACTGCTATTCTCCATCAGGTTCCTTAACATAGGTCACTGGGTGATTGTAAAGCAATGTATGACTCTCATGCAGCAGCTGGTCTTGCTACAACTCTTTGTAACAGGCACCAGGTAGTAATCATAATGAGCCATGTGGTTCTTTCACAATCTTTTTTTCTCCTAATTATGTTACTCTACCTTTACAAAGCATAAGATAGCTATGTAGTTTACATACGTATTATACACATACTGTAAACATATAATACGTATGTAAACTATATATGTAAATAGAAGATTTAGCTATCCTAAGGTTGTATAAAGACAAACCCATTATAAGAAACTAGCCTATTATATAGTAAACTACAATTTTAAAGAAAAGAACTTCAATTAAATTATCCTAAAAATACAGACATATAGGAAATTTCTTTCTTACCTCTCTTATAGCCTCCTCTTCTCTGTCCCTAATAAATATTACTGAAGGAACATTTACCCGGATACGATATGATATCAGAAGATGTCTAGAAAGAAAAAAATATTCTAACATCTATATGATTATGTATGAAGACAACCTAAAAGCATTATCTGCAAGCTCCTTTTTGAAAGATGGAGGGAATAGGTTTAAGTTATAAATACACGTAGTCCTCAATTTATGCCCATAATTGAGCCTAAAGTTTCTGTCACTAAGCTAGGCAGTTATTAAGTGAGTTTCCCCCCTTTTTATTACCTTTTTTTTTGCCAGAGTTAAGTGAATCACTTCGGTTGTTAAGTGAATCATGCGGTCATTAAACAAATCTCTTTCCCCACTGACTTTGCTTGTCAGAAGCCAGCTGGGAAAGTTATAGATGGTGATCACATGACCCCCGGGACAGTGCAACTGTCATAAATACATGTCAGTTGCCAAGCGCCCGAATTTTGATCACCTGATCATGGGGATGCTGAAATGGTCACAAGTGTGAAAAACAGTCATAAGTCACTTTTTTTAGTGCCATTGTAACTTCAAACAGTCACTAAATGAATAGTTGTAAAGTGAGAACTACCTGTGGGCCATTGTTCTGTTACTTCTAGGTGTCAAAATGTGAAGGAGTTCCATTGTATTTTTTTTTATAAGGATCCCCATTCTAAAGACCAATACCAGCCAATTCTTTAAGGGATGTTTGCTTGACCATAGATACACCATACTTGTACCTAATATATGATGCTTTTCTCTGTAGAATTTGCTGAATATTTTCATCCTTTTCTGCATTGCCGGAACTCTTCCAATATATGCGACATGTTGAAAAATCTGATGTGAGGGAAGCCTAAGAAATTTAAAATACTAAATTTAAATGCAGTTTCACATTGGAGAGGAGCGCTACAAACAATTCTATTACAAATCTGCATAAGTGATGGAGATTGCTATTAAAAACAGTGCTATTAGATCAGACATGTCAAACACAAGGCCCGGGGGCCGGATACGGCCCGCGAAGTGGTTTCATGCGGCCCACGAAGCCATCCTGGAAACAGTGAGGGAATGGCCCCCACTGCCTTGGCCCTGGCCCAGGCCGGCCGGGAGCCAATGTACAATTTTGTGGTGGCCATCTATGCTGAAACGCATTCAGTCTTAGCTCCACAAGGCCGTCTAGAAACAGCGAGGAACCAGCCCCTGCTGTGTCGGCCCCGCCCCCTGGGTGCATGCTGGGGAGGTGTCACCCTTTGTGAGGAATGAAGAAATGGACCATGCCTTGGCGCTTGCCCCAGTCCCACCCCCTTCTGCCAGAGACCCTCAGATCTGTCGCACTCCTGCCCAGGCCCCCACAGGCACCCTTGACGCAAACGATGTAGAGCTGGCCATGCCCACCCAGTAGGCCACACCCACTCCATCCATGCCCACTCAGTAGGCTGCACCCACCCTGGCCACACCCACCCATTACCCGAGGGCAACCGCAATGCTGATGCGGCCCTCAATGAAATCGAGTTTGACACCCCTGTATTAGATCAACGATTGGCAGTGAAAAGAAGATATATTCCTACTTCACAAACATTCAAGAGGGAATTATTACCCAAGAAACAAAAAATATATAAATTGAAGGATAATTGTTCCACAAGAAAATGGAAGAAGCTATCAGTTATATATAAATACAGTTTTCCCAAGAAGTACAATTTCCATTTTAAAGTAGGGAGGTTCCAATATTGCAGATACAATTGAGTTTAATCTTAATTCTGCTGAAAACCAATGGGAATTACACTATTATTGAGGTGTTGAAGAAATCTAGATGTCAATACATTTCTACATATTTCATGGGATATATAGAAATGAAATAGCTACACATAAACATTTGAACATACCCCAACACTCCAATGACAAAAGCAAGTTATCCATACACTTGGATATTAAATCAGAGAAAGTCAATGTATACTTAATATAACACAGTAGCAGGAAAGCAAAATGTCCCACTACTGGGAAGCACCAAATATCAAATATTAAAAACTAACAAAAACGAAGATAGCAGTGATGCTGGGAACTCTCTATAAAAGAGCAAAAAGTCTTTCCTCTTCCCTGCTGGAAAAGGATGGTTGGGAGGTGGGTCTTCCAAAGAAACAAAATCCTGAAGAGTTTAGGGTTAAACACCAATGTAAAGAGAAGTACGGGTAGTCCTCAACTTATGACCCACAATTGAGCCTAACATTTCTTAGTGCTTTATGAAACAGTTGTTAAGTGAGTTTTGCTCCACTTTACAACCTTGCTTGTAACAGCTGTTAAGTGAGTCACTGCAGTTGTTAATTTAGTAGCACGGTTGTTAAGTGAATCTGGCTTCCCCATTGACTTTGCTTGTCAGAAGGTTGCAAAAGGGGATCATATGACCCCGGGACACTGCAAGCGTCATAAATACAAATCAGTTGCCAAAGAACTGAATTTTGCTCATGATGATGCTGCAACAGTCAGAAGTGTGAAAAATGATCATAAGTCACTTTTTTCAGTGCTGTTGTAACTTTAAAATGGTCACTATATGAACTGTTGTAAATTGAGAACTACCTGTAATAGCCTCTCTCAAGGTGATACCATTCGTGTAATAAGGATTTTTTTGAATCCTTTGCCTACAACCATTACTAATATGTTAAAGGAATACTCTGTTTTAAGCCTTCCTGCTAGTAGATCACGAGTAATGGTACATCTGTGTCTACAGAGCTTCTTTTCCATAACTTCCAGCCGAGTAGGACTGCAAACTAAATGTAATAGCATAAGCAGGTCTGATATAAAATGGCATTATCAATTTATAACAGAGGTGGGGAATGATGGCCCTTCTATGTCTTATGGACTTCAACTCCCAGAATTCCCAAAGATGCTTTTCCATGAGGCAACTGGACTTTCTTGTTCTCCTTTGAAGACGTTTCGCTTCTCATCCAAGAAGCTTCTTCAGTTCTGAGTGGATGTGGAGAATGGAAAAATTTATACTCCTGCAGACAGCTGTTCATTTGCATTCTTTTAGCGAGTCATTAAAGCTACCTGGAGGCTTCTCTGTGTCTTCAGGGTCCCATTGGATGAGTCAGTAGTCCGTCTGCATTTAAAAGACAAATGCCACTCTTTTGAAGACAGCAAAGTCCACATTTTGGACAGAGAGGACCACTGGTTTGAAAGAAAGGTCAAAGAGGCCATCTATGTCAAAACTGACAGCCCTCTCTCAACAGAGGGGGAAGAATATGACATCATCTATCTCCAGTCTACAGCACAGTCCTTTCAGCAGTTCCAAGAAGGTTTCACACCCATTTGCACTACTCAGGTGACCCTGAAGACACAGAGAAGCCTCCAGGTAGCTTTAACGACTCGCTAAAAGAATGCAAATGAACAGCTATCTGCAGGAGTATAAATCTTTCCATTCCCCACCATCCAGTCAGAGTTGAAGAAGCTTCTTGGATGAGAAGCAAAACGTCTTCAAAGGAAAACAAGAAAGTCCAGTTGCCTTGTGGAAAAGCATCTTTGGGATAACTATGACCTGGATGACTGAGAATCTCCATAAACTCCCAGAATTCTTGAGCCACCTCTGATTTATAATATAGTAAAACTGTTCTTGATACCATGACAATCCAATGCAATAAAGAAAGGCAATGAACCATATGCAATACATGTGGAACAGTTCTTAATGCAATCCAATGCAATAAATCACAGCAACATCTGCAGAGTTTCCTGGACACAATCACAAAATCAGATGTTTCTGTTTTGACACATAATTAAATGATTTCGCCGGACTGATATGATTTGTACTTGCCTTAAACACTTCCACACTGAGATTATAAAGTTCTTGGCCAACTAGAGGGGTGTTCAGTAGGTCCCTCACAGCTTGAAAAAACAGAACGTCCAAAGTTTTCTTACGAATGCTATCTTGTTTCCTAACCTTTGGAGGTGATAACTTTAAAACATCTGTCAAGCTGGATGATTTGTGCAGCTTTAAAAAAACAAGAAATTGCAGAAAACAAATAATTTTAGCATTAGATATAACTTTTTAGAGAGGAGTGCATTTCTTTAAGGATCCAGTAGAACTGCCATTGTTTTTCTGCTTTTCGTTACTCTTGTTTTCCCATACTTTTAATACCAACTTGCCCATAATAATTAAGTGGAAACAGCAATTCCTACCATTCTATAGAAACTGAAATGAAAACTGGAAACAAAGAGGTGAATTTCAATTACATCTCATAATTATATAGCTGAATTTAGATTTCAATGATTACATATGTATAATAATCACATTTCATTATATTTTAACTTTTAAAAGGAACTGCCTACCATATGGGGAGGTCAAGCATAACTCAATATTAAACAATAGTTCCAACTATATATGTTCATCATATGTCTCTTCATATATCATATTTTCTTAAATATATGTTTATGGAGGTGACATATTTCTTCTATGTAACCAGATTATGAACATGACTTTTCAGCATAGCTATTTCAAATACCTATATTCTTAAATTTTGTTATTTTTATATACATATCCTATATAAACATTTGAGTCCTTTTTACAATATCTGTAAATAACAACCTAATGCTGCTATTTAGGTGTTAATGTGGCTTTATTCTTTTCCTACACTCTCTGATGAAAACTGTGAATGACAAAATACAATAGCATAACAATTATTTACTTATTTCTAATTCAGTATGAAATACAAGTTCAATGAAAGCATAAGTAGCTGCTACTGCTTTATGCAACTTGAACCCCCCCCAAGAAAGCCACACGATCTAGTACAATTATCATAAAATATGAATTATACAAAATTTATGAAATATGTTGATTAAGACATTGCCTTTAGATTAAGACATTGCCTTTAGATTAAGTCATTTTTTTTGTTCTTACCATTTCAGATCCAAGTGTAGGATTAGAATACCAAAACTTCTTCCTTTAAAGATTAGAGAAAAAAATAATGTTTATGCTTTAATAACTATAAAAATATATTTTCCTGTGTTATTTTATTTTGCAAAATCTACCTGAAAAATAATTTCAACAAGGGCACTAAATAGTTTAAAAAGTGATCACAACTCACTCATTAGTTATACTTTTTGTTCATGAAGAAACATGACATGCTTCCCCATTAAAATCATAATTTACTATTTACCCCTTATAGCAGTTTTTCAGATTGGACAACTTTAAGATGTACGCATTTGAACTCCCAAAATTCCCAGCTTGCATGCACGTTCACCCATCTTAAAAGTTGCCAAGATTGAGAAAGACATCCTTACTGGAACATAGTAAATACTGAATAACTAAAGGTTCATATAACACACAAGTAAAAGTCAAATCAGCAAATGAAGATGGCCATTCAGTGTTCCAAAATGTATGAACTTAGACATAGTATATTTACAATAACCTATGTCACAACAGACTAACTTAAATACAGGCTTATTCATCCAGTGTTTCTCAACCTTGACAATTTTAAGGCATGTGGATTTCAACTCCCAGAATTCCACAGCCAGCATTGCTGGCTGTGGAATTCTGGGAGTTGAAGTCCACATGCCTTAAAATTGTCAAGGTTGAGAAACACTGAACTAAACATTCAATAAAGCATTTATTATTGTCAGATAATAGAGTAGTATTTAAAAGCATTGTGTGAACTCTGCACAAGCAAGTATTGTCCTAATCAGTGTAACATACTTACTTGAAATGAGTCAAGTGAATCACTGAAGCTGTCTTCTAAAACCACGCAAAGAATGACTCTGTAAAGCTAACACTTAAGTATCTTTAACTCAGAACTAGTTTCGTTTCGTGTACCTAAGTACAGCTTGTACTTAGGCAGGGGTTTCCACCCTTGGCAACTTTAAGGCTTGTGGACTTCAACTCCCAGTATTCCTCTGAGGAATTCTGGGAGTTGAAGTCCACAAGTCTTAAAGTTGCCAAGGTTGAGGACCTCTGACATAAGGGATAGAGTTGCAAGTGCAACGCCTATTTTATTCTATTATTTCTGAGAATGATGGGGGGGAGGGGGTCGGACGTTCCCGAGAAATGGGATCAAGCTTGTGTTAACAAGAAAAAAATCAGGAGGGATGCACTTATATTATTACTATAAATATGATAATCATGTTTTAATAGAGAGGAAGAGTTACTGGTGATACCTGCTGAATTGGTATAGACTTTGGTGTATTTGAATTACTTAAATGTATAATTTTTTTATTAATGTGGAGGAGATGGATTGTTTATAAATAGAGTTTGTGGAGTTAGAGATATTAATATTTGTTTACCTAT